CGTCGGCGCCGCCGCAAAACACGGCCGGCGAGACGCAGGAGGCGCATCCTGCGGCTGGCGCGGGTGGCGCGTCTGCTGACCCGTCCGCACAGCCGCCCAGTGCCGAGCTGCTCAACCGTCTGAACAACCTGTCGGACAGGATTCGCACCGCTAACGAGCCTCGTGAGCAAGAGAGCATGACTATGATTTCACGACTGATGCGCGAAGCGCTCCGCAATGTTATCCCGGGTGTTACTGGCGCAGAGCGCGTGCAGGAGGCGCCACCCACACCGCAGGCGCCCGCTGGGAGCACCGCACAGTCTGTGCTTGATGCGCTCGACAATGCACGACAGGGCCGTCCGCTCGCGAGCGGCGCGCCCGAGTCGTTCGAGCGCTTTTTGCATGATCTGATCATCGACTTGGACGTGGCGGTGCAGCGCATGCGCCAGACAAACACGGCTGTCGATGACGAAGAGCATGTGCGCCAGCGCCGCGACGGCGACATCAGCATGGGCGAGCTCTCGTTCTTCCGTCTGTTCCGCTTTGAGCGGACTACCGAGAATCTCGTGCCGTGCGTGCTGGTTGGCGTCCGCTCCCTCCGCGCTGGTGAGCGCCTGATGGGCGGCGAGGACGAGCGCCGAGGCGGCACGGGCCCGATGCCCGCCTTTGCCGCAGCAGCGGCGGCGACCGCAGCGACCGCAGCCACAGGCCCGTCAGCATCAACATCAGCTTCAGCTTCAACATCAAGTTCAACGTCAGCTGCGCCAGCGCCTCCTCCACATGAGCCTGCAGCTTCAGCTTCAACAACCCCAGCAACGCCAGCCCCCTCAACGCCAGCCCCCTCGACGACAGCATCCACAACGACAGCATCTTCATCAACGACAGCATCTTCATCCACATCAGCTTCAGCAGCACCGCCTAGTGGCGCCCCTTCTCCCCAACCCACTTCACGCTTCATTCTCTTTGTCAGCGGCGGTCGCTACCGCGATGAGCACCCCCTGTTGACTGCTCATCCGCGCGACTCTGGCCGCGACCTCATGTTTATGATGGAGCTGCTCGGCACCATGGCCGCCATGAGCACCAAGGCGCCGACAGCCTCCGCAGCCGATATTGCGCGAAGTGGCTTGCACAAGGTGCCCGCTTCGCAGATCCCGTCGTTGATTGATGCTGGCAAAGTTACCGAGAACGCACGTGAAAAGTGTCTCGTGTGTCTCGAAGAGTGGCAGGCAGAGGACGAAGTGCGAATCCTGTCGTGCCACCACGCCTTCCATGCGAGCTGCGTTGACCGCTGGCTCGAGCAGAGTTCCAACACGTGTCCCCTATGTGCGTATCGCTATGCTAACCAGGCCGCTCCGAGGCAGTCCGTCAGGGCGCAGGCAACGCGTCTGTTGGATAAAGTTCATAAACATCACATAGCGCATAAAAGCGTGCATACAGAGCGTGCTGCGTCTCGAACGCCGCAAAGAGCTCTGCATGGTGTGCACGGCTGTGCAGGAACACGCGTGCGAGCTGCTTGCTCAGCGTGTTGAACAGACGCGCGCTCTGGCGCGGCACGCGGTTCTCTGGGAATCGCTCGGACTTGAGCGTGTCGGCCGCCGCGTCGATAACGTGCGCCACGTATTCAAACGCGGTGCACTGGCGCTCGTCGCCGTGCGAGGGACACAGGTAGACGTCCTGGTCGACCATGAGCGCCGCACATGTGCTGTGTTCCGTGCGGCACTCGCGCTTCAGCTCGAGCAGCCATATGCCAATGTCCTGCACCAGTCGACAAAGCTGTGCATAAATCCACTCGTCGCGGTCGACACCGTCGGGAAGAGACGTGATCTCCGACACGGGCCTGCCGGCCTGCACTGCCGCAGACACCCGTTCGTACAGCGTCTCGGCCACACCCGCGCCCGCCCGCAGGGTCGCAACGTCCTGTCAGCACACACTCACTCACCTCGGCGCGTTGCCCTCGACGAACGCGTGCTAGCATTCCTTTACTAAGCGCCATGGCCGCACAGACAGAGGGGCCGCCACCGGGCGCGAAGCGGATCAGGCAGCCGCTGAACTGCGTGTCGTGCCGCGAACGCAAGATCCGCTGCGACCGCAGTGTCCCCTGCTCGCAATGCATACGCCGTGGCATCGCAGACACGTGCTTCATCGAAAACAGACGTGGCATGTCCGCCCGCCGCGCAAAGTCCAAGGAGCCCGCCACCGAGGTGAGCGATATTCGCGCACGCCTCGACCACGTCGAACGCATGCTGGGACAGCAGGAGAAGCATGAAGGGCATGCCAGCGTGCTTGGCGACGTCCCAGAGGTGCCTGTTCTTGTGCATGGAGCCAAGACGCCGGCGCCTGTTCGCCAGTGCGAGGGCAACGAAGAGGAGGCGATCGCGCGCCTGGAAGAACTCGCACTGAATGGCAGCACAGCCGACTACTCGCGTGGGTCGTCGGGAAGCCCCGAGGACGAGCCCGAGGCGCAGCCAGCCGAGCCACGCGACCTCCCAGGCCTCCTGTCGTCGGTCGACACGGGCCTTCTGAACATCGGCACGGAGACGCCGCTCGGCTGGGGCCTCGGCTGGGCGTTTGGCGCCGCACTGCAGGAGGACGAGGAGAGCCGTCCAAGCGTCGACCATCTGATGAAGTACTGCACGACCGCGCCTGATCGCCATCGCGTTTTGGGCATCATCGTCGGGTCCCTTCCGCCGAAGCACATTGCGAACAGGCTGCTGAGTGTCTTTGACCACAGACTCAAGTCGCTCGTGTACAATGTCATCCACGTGCCGCTCCTCCGCGCAGAGCTGGACGTGTTCTACGGCCTCTCACACAAGGAAAAGGTGCAGAAACTGGATGCGGGCGACACTGGCTGGCTCGGCATCGTGCTCATGGTGTTTGTGCTGAGCGCGCAGTTCATGCCGGCCGACGCCGCATCAGACCCCGAGTTTGCTCGACACGTCTCCACAAAGCACATCCATCTCTGGCTAAGTGCGACGCGGTCTGTCCTCGTGCTCTCGGACCTGCTTGCGACAAAGCGGGTCAGTGTGATCCAGACTGTTATTCTGCTGGCGTTCCAGAGCGGACACTCGTCGCGCACCGCTCTCGTCCGCATTGCAATCGCGAATGCACAGGCGCTTGGCATCCATCGGCTGGGCGACAAGGCGCATGCGCTCAAGCCAGACGACCCGCCGGAAAAGGTGGTGAACCGCGAGATCGCCATCCGCGTATGGTGGGCGCTCATCATGTTTGACTGGCGCGTGCCGCTGAGTGACCGCACCCCATACTCTGTGTCGCCGCGCCAGTTCAACACGCCGCTTCCGCGCAACAGCAACGATGAAGAGCTGCTGATGCGGCCGCTGCCTGCAGAGCGACCACGCGAACAGTACTCTGATGTGTCGTTCTTCCTCGCCAACATTGAGCACATCAAGGTCGTGTTTGAGATCAAGGAGAAGCTCAACGATCTCGCCATGCAGCAGGCTATGGACGATATTCCGCGCAAGATGCCCTACGACCAGGTCATCTCCTACAATAAGAGGCTGCGTCAGGTCGTGCAGGAGTCGTCGCACGTCTTTGGCCTCGCATCGCTGCATCACCCGAGCGAGGTTGTCGAAGTGCAGCGGTGGCTCCTCCACCTGGGCTTATTCAATTCACTCCTTTACCTCCACCGCCCTCACATTGTCTGCAAGCGCGCGCGATTCTGCTGCGTAGAGCTTGCCCGCTCGATCCTAAGCATGAAACGCGATATCCGTGCACACAACGAACTCTCCCGCATGCTCTCGCTGGCGATCCTGCAGACTTTTCCCGCCACGCTGCTGCTCTGTCTGGACATGCTGCAAGTTCCGCAGCACGAGCCGCAACGCTCGACTCTGCGCAAGGAGATCATCGAGTCGCTCGACGAGCTGCGCACTGCTGAGCTCAGGCAGCATGGCTCGAAGCGGGTGGCACGCATCGTTGAAATGCTCCTCGCCAAGGAGGAGGCCCAGTGGGCAGTCATCCAGCACCAGAATGGCCTCCTTAGGCCGCTGCCACGCAACTTGATCAAGACGCTAGAGTGTGTCGCGAAATCTACAAACAGCCCAGACTTTGAGTGGTCCAGCGCTGTGACTGCCGAGGATCTCGCGTTCCATCCAGAAAAGGAAGCGTCGACTGGGCTGCCTGTCGGATACGTGCCGCTGGAGGCGCCGGATCCAACAGACACATTCAACTATGACATTGACTCAATTCTCAACTCGCTCGGAAAGGTCACCAGCATTAATTCGTCGCCTGTATCTTCCTACACCAACACGCAACTGAGCCCACACAGCCTGTCGTCACAGCATACTCCTCCCAGTATCGCTACTACTCCCCACTCACAAACAAGCCAAGGCTTTAGTATGACGTCGAATATCCCACAGGTCCAAATGCCTGGTGCATTCGCAAATGGTATGCAACAAGTACCTGTGCCCTCCAAGGAAGAGGTTCTCTCGATGCCGATTATCGATCAGCGCATGGATGTGGAGATGTCGCAAAAGAACAATGATCTTTGGGACTGGTTCCTCAACCAAGGCGCACTCGCAGAGAATGCTCAGACCCCCCTCGATTTTTCCCATTCCATGTTTGGAAACAGCACTCAGATACAGGCACCCATGCAAACGATGCCTGAGCCCACTTCGTTCCCGCACCAATATCCGCTGTATGATACCCAGACCCTTAATATTCAGGGGGACATGAAAAATGGCCAAGAATATTCGAACATGTTTGGTATGTTGTAGGCAATCTCTACTTGTAATATTGTTGTTGCAGTCGAAAAAAATGGTTGCGAGAAAAGATTAAGGTGGCACACGAAGCACAGTGTACCGGAGACCTGCGCACCAAAAATGTGTCCCGTGCCAGGATCGAACTGGCGACCTCCAGATGTCATATCCGCGGAACCGCGGTCATATTATGAGACCGACGTGATAACCAACTACACCAACGAGACACGTTATGAAGGCTGCACGATGATTACATACATAATCACTAGTTTCCATTTTCGGATACGATTACGCATGCGACAAAAAGACTGTCCCGTGCCAGGATCGAACTGGCGACCTCCAGATGTCATATCCGCGGAACCGCGGTCATATTATGAGACCGACGTGATAACCAACTACACCAACGAGACAAGCGTTGGCCGGTGGCTCTCCTTTGGCATACATGATTCAACTCGTATAAACTGCAAGCTACTGTGAAATGCTCATAATCTCCTTGCGGCTTTGCTCAAGAAGAGCTGCAACATTTGGGTCAACAGAAGATGCACTAGCAGTGTCTGCTTGCTCTTGAAAAGGCTCTCCCACATTTTCTGGCATCTTGGTCTCACTTAGATCCGGGTCTCCCAGATCTTCGCCGAGGTCTTCTGGAACATCGTCACCGACGTCGCCGAGATCATCTTCGTCCATCGGCAGCGGCGCGGGGGTATCTTGGCTAGTGTTTTTTCTTTTATCAAGACGCATGATCGCATGGTTGTCCAGCTCAATAGCCTTCAGCTGCACCTTGCGGATCGTGCCTCCGCAATGCCGCACGGATATTCTTACACGGCTTCCATCAATATCGTGCAGCAGTGTTGCCGCAGCCCATACAGTGCGAACGCCATGTCGTGCACATCGAATAATGCCTGTGCCTGTCGTCGATGAGTAGTATTTGCAGGTGAGCGGCCCGCCAAGCGCGCCAGATGCCAAGTCACCAAAATTCCGCTGTAGCGACCCGCGCAGCGCCTTGGTCAGTGAGTGTGCGGAAATACGTGGCCCCTGACTAACGTCGCTGTCGTGCTCATTTTGAGATGTTGACACGGAAAGCAATAGCCATCGGTTCTGATTAGGCACATCCCCTTACCTTGAATCGGACCATATGCACGGTTAAAAAGTGGAATATGTGTAATTTACCTAAAAAGCAAATATCAAACAACACTAATTACCTGGCGCGCGAGGCGGCGCACGGGTTGGACGACGTGCCAGACTTGCACCAGGCAAGGACATAGGATTGGGCATCGGCTGATCACTCACGATCGGAGTCATGGGAGACGTGACACCACTTCCAGCCACTGACTGCAGCGCCGGAGTCGGGGGGACAGAGGCCGAGGGCGACTGAGGCCCATGCAGAGGTGGAGGTCGAGTAGGAGGCGAACGCACAGGAGGACTGCGCAGGCTAGGTGCACCTTCAGAGCACGCTGATGACGGCGAGATAATAGAATCGGACGTGTCTGCGTACCCGTCAATTGGATGCACGCTGGACTGGCGCGCAGGGGAAGCGCGACCAGGCGCGTCTCCCGTCGAAGCACGCACGGGGATCGGGAGTCCACTAATACGCTGGCCACCAATGCGCTGGATGCGGCGCATAATTGCCTCGCGACGCTCCTGCTCAAGCTCCATTTCCGTCTTGGCAGGTGTGTCAGCAGGCGTCTGTTCCTGCTTCTCCTGCGCCGGCAGAGACTGCGCAACAGACCGTTGCGCGTCAGAATCCAGTGATTCAGCAGCTGGTTCTGTGCCGTCAATAACAGTCGAAGTCACTTGAGAATAAGCAGGCGGCATGAGTGTGGGCGAGTCAAGCGAACTGGGCGCACTGGGAACAGGCGATGGAGGGGGCCTGGTGCTTATCTTCGGACGACGATCCGAAGGAAGACGCGTCACACGCGAGACAGAGGGACTCGGCACAGGTGGCTCTGGAATCGTTTCGTCACCAAGCAGCTCTTCGAGCTGGCGGCACTGATCGGAATAGTCGACCTCGTCAGAAGCGCCGGCTGACTCGGCGCTAGGAGCGCCCTGAGAAAGCTGAGCAAGCAGCGCATTCTCATCATCAATCCTTGGTGTATCGTAGGAGGACTCAGAAGAACTGGGCATGTATGGCGCAGTGTGGATGGGGGGGAGAACTGGCCGCGAACTCACACTAGGAAGAGTTTGAGGCACACGAGGGGCCGTGCGGCTAGGAGGTGGACGACTAGGTGGTGGCAGGTGTGACACGTGGCTTTGAGCGACAGGTGACACGGGTGTACTGCCATCAACTGGACTCGAAAGCTCCGGGGCCTGCTGAGACTCGCTGATGCTTGCAGACACTTCATTCGATCCATCCAGCTGTGCAAGCAGCGCAGCGGGCACAACAGGAGCAGCTGACTGCGTTTCTGGCTGAACTTGACTTGCACTTGGTGCCTTGGGAGGCTCACGTGCAGGGCCCTTTGGGAGAGGAGTTTCCTGCATGGCAGGGGCTTGATCAACCGGGATGATTTGAGGATCAGCGTGAACGGAGGCGGCAGAAGTAGGGACCGGAGGAAGAGGGGCATCAAGAGACACTGGTGCAGAATGAGCATCCTTAGCAGGTGGAGCAGGGGCAGAAGGGGCGGCAGGAGTAGCAGCCAAAATGGGAGCTTCTTGAGGAGCAGCAGGAGCAGGAGCAGATGGAACAGTACGGGCAACTGGAACTGCAGGGGCATCCAAAGTGGGAGCAGCACGAGAAGGAACAGCTGGAGCAGGAGTAGGGGCACCAGTTGCACTTACAACAGGAGCAGGTGAAGCTGGCGCAGCAGGTTCAGCGTCAGCAGGTGCATCACTAGCAAAAGCACTGGGTTCAGGAGGAGCACGAGCACCAGTTTCAGTTACAGGAGCACTGGGTTCAGGAGAAGCACGTGCATCAGTTTCAGTTACAGCAGGAACACTGGGTTCAGGAGCAACAAGGGTACTGGGTTCAGGAGCAGCAAGAGCAGGGGCGTCATCTGCCGGAGCAGGGGCGTCATCTGCCGGAGCAGGAGCGTCTGCAGTTGTAGCGGAAATGGCTGTAGGAACATGTTCAGCCAAATCTTCAGCGGGCTCCACTGACGAAAGAGCGCTGGTCGCGTCCTCACGAGGCGCCTCGCGGATCGCAGGCGAAATCTCCTGAGCAATGTGAGGCTCAGCCGTAGACTCAGGCTTTGCAGAGGCAATTTCCGGTGCAGTCTCCTCAGGTGCACTGCGGACCTGCGGCAGAACGTCAGACACAGAGATTGGGCCCTCGCTAGGCTTCACCGGCTCATCACGGTCCTCTGCAGGCAAGTCGACACTGCCAGCCTCTTCGGTGGCAGATTCAACTGGAAGAGCGCCTGGGACAGGAGGAGCATCAGCCACAACCTCGTTGGATGTTTCTTCTGGAGTCTCATGGGATGTGCTAATCTCGCGTGATGCCTCAGGGATTGTGTCGCTCTCACGCTCCTTTGTATCGGCCTCTGTTGCGACGCGAGTCGGCTCATTTAAAGTTTCTGTAGATTCCGTAAGCAGTTCCTTGGGGTTTTCCTCTGTCTCTGCGCGATTAGCGTCTGTCACAGATGGCTCAGGCACGTGCTGCGCCGCTGTGTCATTGGACGCAGGAGTTTGAACAGCAGTTTCTGGTGTCTGAACTTTTGGGGCGCGGCGCGTGCGGGGTGCAGCAGCGCGGCGTGGCACACTAAGAACTTGCTGTTCCGGCGCGTCAGCACTCTCAGGCTCCTTAGGGGCCTCGGTAGGCGTCTCCGGGGCCACTGTTGGCTCCTGAGACGTCTCGGGGACCTCAACTGGCTCATCGGGAGTCTCCGCCTGCTTCTGTGGCGTCGCAGGGTCATTCACGGGGATGATCGGGGCGACACAACGACCACCAAGCGCGGCCATGCGGCGCGCAATGGCCTGGCGGTGCTCTGGATCGTCCTCTGGGTCCTCGCTCAGGGGTGCTTGAGCAGCCTGCACCTGCTCAGCACGAAGCTTCTTTGGTGGTGCTGGCGGAGGGGCCTTTTGAGCGGCGTCATTCTTCTGCAGCGCGGCCATACGCTCCTTGAGGCTCACCTTGATACTGCTCCGTGCATCATCCGCATTCAGCGAGCTCTGTGTGCTGGCAAGTACCGGCTCACCACGAACAGGCACATCGATGCGACGAATGACTCCAGGCTTTGGTGCTGAGCTCTGGACAGGCAGCGGAGGCTTTTCCGCAGTGGGCTGAGGCCTCTTCCACACAAGAGGCTTGCCCCGCGGAATAGGAGGCGGGGCTGTGTTTTTGGCAGGGTTGTTGAATGCTGCAATACGGTCACGCAGCGACATGCGGCTTGGGTCAGTGGCCTTTGTCGAGACATCGGGCACTGCCATAGCGGCCATGCTTATTCCCTTGGGCTTGGCCGCAGCCTCAGGTTGTGCCGCCTCCGTGTTTGACTCGCGTGGCGCCTCAGGTGTAGCAGTCTCGTTTGTACCGGTTTCAGCAGCGTTGCTTTCAGCAGGTGCCTCCTCTGCCTTGTCGGGTTGGGCATCGGGTATATTTTGTGCCTGCTCCGCGGTAGATGACGCAGTGTCTGTGTCCTGCGCGGGTGTAGCAGTGGGAGTGGCTGCAGGGTCAGCAGGAGCGTCTGTAGGAACACTTGGGGCAGTGTCCGTAGGAGTCCCCGCTGCATCACCTGCCAGAGGCACTGCCGTGGCCCCGACAGCATCTTGTGACACGGCCTCCTCTTCCGCCTTTGCAGCTTCATCAGGAACTTGTGTAGCGACAGATGGCGCACCAGACACCTCCTTGTCAACAGGTGAATGCTCCTCAGCAGCGCCTACCTGAGCGGGCACTGCAGCTGCAGGAGCATCTTTACGCTGAATCGCGCTTTCGGGAAAGATGCCCTGGCGGCCGTCGGCGGTCTCGCCGACCAGCCAGGACGAGTCCTTGTCCGGCGCATAGTCAATTACGCGTACATCATCGCCAACGTTGAGCTCAAGGTCGTGTTCATGTGAACAGCTGTGCTTGTTCACAGCCATGGCGTGATATGGAAATGACATGGCGTAAGTATAAATCCCGGCCGTGCGTCTCCAATTAACACTATGCCACAAATTGCTTACCACCTAGAGAACAAAGGCTCTGTGGCGCGTGATCATCTCGCGCTCGAGCGCACGTTCCTGGCGTGGCTACGCACCTCGCTGGGTATGACCAGCATTGGCATGTAAGTCGCGGCTTACAGTGCCATTTCGCAGCTTTTTCGACTGCCCGAGCTCATTGTCGACCCTGATAACTATCTCGCAGATATCGCAAGCGGCAGCCGCACACACACCCGCACGCTCCAGCACCTCGGCACGCCTCTCGGCATCTCTTTTATTTCTGTGGGCGTCCTTATTCTATTCATCGGATGCTTCCGCTTTTTCCATGTTCAAATTAGGCTTATTT